GGGAAGGGAAGGGAAGGGAAGGGAAGGGAAGGGAAGGGAAGGGAAGGGAAGGGAAGGGAAGGGAAGGGAAGGGAAGGGAAGAAAAATCCAATTCAAGGAGTTAAATGTAAACTTACTACGTGATTCTCAGTGAGCATTTTCTTTAAATGGAAAAAACAACGAAAGCATCCAAATGTACCATCCCCTTGGTACACCCAATTTACTGAAAGAAGAAAGGGGAATTCTTCTAACATTCCTTCACTGCAGTGCCTGCCTGACTCCTGACACAGCTTAATACAGACTTGATATAGTGGGAGCTGTTCTTTAAAGTGAAAATGAAGGCAAGAAAAAAGACGTAAGCCCTACAGAAATAACAGTAATAAACCATTTATATCTATACTGCATATAATACTGACAAATGATAATATCAGGATATCAGAAGTATTTTTCACAGCGTATTAAATATGAAAACAGCTCAGGAAACACAGTCATTTTTTTTCCTATAAATGATGTTGAGAAGACATGAAAAACCAAGCAGAGCATTTAAATAAAAGAACAGTGCAGCAGAAGATTCAGAGGCAGTGGGCCAGCTTAGTGGTTCTGCTCTGGTTTCTAAGCCTCCTGCTGTTCTTCCAGTTCTGCAGGTCCTATAGACACCATGTGTATTCTAGCATATGATGGAGGGCAGTGGGGATGTATCCATAGAGTAGAGGACAATCTGTACTGAGGGCCTGCTCTACACACCATGTAGGACTGAGGGTTTACTTTGGGCCCACTCCAGTGTTGTTCCAGAGACTCTCTAGCTGATATCAGCTCAAGTACATCTCACAATGTATTTGCACCCAGGTAAGATCCACGTTTAAACTCTGCAGTTACAATCCAAAGCATGGGTAGGGCCTATTGAGAGATTCACTTCAAATTCACACTCTTGATTGGAACTAAAATGGTAATACAGAGCAGCTCAGACTTCAACACAAGGAATGTATCTTTCTCCACAAAGAACAGTGAATCCATTGGAAAAACAGATTTGCCCTCTGGCTTCCTATGTTTCACTTTTCTCTGAAAGAAATTCATTTAGCCTACACTGACTTATCAGTGCATATAGAATCTTACAATTAAAGGATGCCTAAGAGATTTAGATTAGTTATTTATCCTGTAGGACTAATTTCTCAATAAGTATGACTGCCTGAGACAATTACTTTCTCTTGGATCTGTGAAACCATCCCAACTCCAGTACTGTCATTTTTCTTCCAGAAGGGTAGCTTTGACAACATTGTCACTTGGAAGTAGTTTTCATTTTAGAAATTCTGTATGAAAAATTCAGAGTGATAAACTCGAGTAGACTGGTATGGGCTCCAAGAAGGTACACTTGCTGTCTCTCTGTTATAGCCTGTAAGGAGGATTTATAGAGCAAACTTTTTGCAAGAACTCTGAGGGTGCAAATGTCTTACATGATATAGAGACACTCAAATTAGCTTATCAGTGTTAGGAAACAGCAGCTGCAGGGCTTTTTGCATCAGCCTCAGCATTCTAGATTTGCGCTATTCCAAACAGAGACTTTTCTGCCACTTTGGTATTCATGCTTTCCAGACATTGCCTCTCCTTTCCCTCTGTCATGACTTCAAAATTCACTTTTCCTTAAAAAAAAAAAAAAAAAAAAAAGGTCACTGAAGAAGACAGGAATTTGAAGGAAAAAAGAAACGTAGTTAACACGAACTGAGTTAAATACAAGACAACTAAGCTGAAACTGCACAGGGTATCAGAGGTGCCATAAAGAACATCAGAGTTCTTATGTGCAATATGAATAACTTTTTTCTGCCATAATAGTGCAAGTTCCAATTTATACAAAAGATTGTTAAAACAAACACTATTCTGCACAATGTTAGTAACACTAGACCCAATAATCATTAGAATTTGAGTTTAAAGTGAAGAGTGTATGGGTGACTTTTACAGTTTTAATTTCAAAACTATTTATATCAGCTGGAATCTCAAGAACATATATGTTATTTTAAGTAGAAATCATTTTTTTTTTTAAAGTTTCATCATTCTAACTTCCTTAAATACAGAAGGCTTATTTAATACACTACAGAAGGAAAGGCAGAATAGATGAAGAAAAAGCGTGGATCTTAAACCATTTTCTCCTTCTTTCTGTTGCAACTCTAATTCTCAGAAAATGAAGCTTCAATCAAAACAAAGTTTCAAAATTCTAGTGACAGTATGTCCCAAGATTTAGATTTGTAACTATACACCTAGTACCTACTGTTCTCTGATCAGTGCACACAAAGAAAACCATGATTTTTAGTCTGCTCAGACCTCATTTCTGTCTGAATGAAGCAAAATAAAATGATGACACATCTTTAGCCAAAGGCCGTGTTGAATCCTTATCTAGCTCTACATCTTTGATGTTACTGTTGATAAAGCTCTATCCATAAACTCTTCAAGGGATTTTCTGGTTAAGCTTGAACAGACAACTGAAGCAAACAGTATTTCAACTTGTCAGCTAAGCAAACTAATAAGAAAACTTTATGTTCTTTTTTTTTTTTTTTTTTTTTTTTTTCTTTCCTTCCTTTAAGGTTTTTTGGGTTATACATTCATTTTCATGGATTGAAATAAGAACATCTGAAAAATGTAATAATTTTCTTCTGGAGTAAATCTGGGGACTCCATAGACTTCAAAACTTTTTTCTTTTCTTTCTTTCTCTCTTTTTTTTTTTAATTTTATTTTATAATTTTTTTGGTAGGCCACGACTTTTTTTTTCTTTTTTTTTTTTTCTCTCATACATCTAACTGACGTATATGGTTCTTTTCATCAGTTATGGTTATGCAATAAATAAATAAATAAACCTATTCAACTAGGAATATTTTCAGACATTTTCCCTTTCACTTTAAAACACCTAAAAAGTATACATCAAACAGGTCAAAAAAGGTTTTGCTGTTAAATTAACAGCAGCATATATTGTTCTCTCTCATCACTTCTCTTCCTATCATTTTCTGCTCACTCTTCCTCTTTAATATGCAAAAGTTGTGTGCTTTTCAACCCTGCCCTTTAGTTAGAGACCACATGGTACACGATCACAAAAAGCTACACATAAATATCATGCCAGGTTACTGTATTATAATTCAAGCAGGTAAAGAGGGCCCTTTGTAGGTTGTAGGGGAGGCTGTGAAAGAGCAGTGAGGGAAGGGGAAGATGAAATTGTGAGCAAGGTCAAACACATCTCTCAGTGGAATGAATTTTGTCACTCTAATTATCTGTCTAAACATTCTAGGAGTGTAACTCTCTGTGGGCTGAATTTCTAGTACAAGAAAAATTGCTCCATCAAATAGTCTTATTGTGCTCTCTGTATCAGTTGTAGTTTCCATGGCAATAAATAGGATGCATTACTTTTGGTACAACCTATTTAACCTACATAATCTACAAAATACTCTAGTTCCTGGAAAAGTCAATGTCTGTAACTATACCTTCTAAGATACTAAACAAAAGACTTGGGGCAGAGGCTTAAACAATATCCTATGGTCTTCCATTCTTCTTGTTAGCATGGCATCTTCCAGTTCTAATCTGTGCCAACCAGCACTTTGCCAAAAATCCTCAGGCACAGCTGGGAGGTAACCACTCCAAGTAGTCTGGTTGTGGTCACTCGTCTTAAGCAGGTGAAAGGAGGTCTTAGAGCCAGGGATGAGCCCATGGTCTCCTCCCTCCCTGAAGTAGGCGTAGCGTTCCTAGGCAGTTAGAACAGTTAAAAGGTATCACATTCCCTTCTGCCCAAAAGACACAGAAAGGCCCAAATTTTCATGCTCGAGCCTAACAGTGCTTTGCCTGTATTATAACATAATTTAAAAGGGACTATGTGCTGAACGATGATTCTTCCTTGGTATGTCCTATGAATCAACATTATGCATCAAGTCTGTTCTGCTCTTTACTTGATTGGAAATTGTTGTGTATCTGACACCTAGCACCTTTCATGAGATTTACAAGTGCTTCTCCTTCATCCATACTCCAGAAGGATTAAGATAAGGGAAATCTTCTCTTGTAGAAAATGAGATTTTGAATGAAATCACGTTTATTCCCTTTTTATAGTGAACATTATTTTAATAATTTTCTGTCTTACCTCTCCCACCACTTCCAACCTGCTGGCATCATCAGAAGTACTGGTCAAGTTACCATGGTGAAGCAGGGAATCGTCATCTTTGGAAGGGCTGTTCACACCTTCTAGCTCATCAAAAAAAATGTTGACATCCTTGGCTACTAAAAAACAAAGATAAAAACATATGTTTAAATACATTCGAGCCAAATGAAGATGAGTGTAACACATTATCAGTTATCCCGCTTTTTAGTTCTGGTGTATCTATGACATTAAGTTTAAAATCTCCTGATGAGCAGTGGTGAAGATTTAGGATATCATAGTATCTCTCTGATCTTAAATAAGTAATCAACTGTCACAATAAAACATTTGTTAGCTATTTCCTTGGATTCTCTTAGGATAAGTGGCTTAAAGGATTGCTTTCTTTATCACAGCCACAAAAAATTGCTTTCAATGAGGAAGGTATTTTTAAACTACTGCACAAAATATCAAGTTAGAAATTGTACAGATCTGTGGCAGAAGATCTCAAGTAAGTACTGCTACTTGAAAGACACTGAATATATGAGCTTGGCTAATCATAACTTTCACCAAATTTGGCATCTTTTTATATATATAATGCTAACATATTCAGATTACTGATTGCCTAGCCTCCAGTCATGCTACATTAACCCCAACTTGATAAAAATCAAGGAGGCGTAAGGTCCTGGACCACATACCCCTGTTTTGGAGGCCTGTCAGTGGGTCTCAGGTCCAAGACACTGGTATACATGGGGAGAGGCCCCAGACAGTGCTCAGGGTAGCCCTGCTTACCCACCCCAGGTCCATGTCTGTCACTGATGCCCCTCACTGGGCCTAATCTTGATCCCCAATCTGCAGGCTAAAGTCCTGGCCTGGCCTCAGCCTGTCCCCAGAGAGGTGCCCAATGCATGGGGTTGCAGTTGTCCCAAGGCTCCCTGGCTGCTCTGCTCCCACCTGAGTGGTGGGGTGGGCCCTGGCTATGGGGCACTGCCCTGATAATCCAATGGTGAGCCCCCATGGAGCAGTCAGCTCACACCATGTGTGACTGAATATAACAACTTGAGTAACTGAGTTTAATTTCTTCCAACTTTTATGCAACGTTGTGTCATGATAATTTTATAGTAATTAAAATAAAAGCATTGGAAGACTTTGAATGCGTTAAATGCTGGCACTGTACTCAAGCTTAGAGTCAGGAGACAATGGGAAGCTGTGGGCAGAGTGGCTTTGCACTTCTACAGTACCACATAAAGGCCATTGGCTTCAGAGACTGAGGGGCTGCTGGACAGAAGACATGGGAATGGAGATATGGGACAGGTAGGCTGCAGCCAGCTGGGTCTATCTCTGCACTCCAAAGCTGCAGATCTTGGGTGAAAGGATGGTGAAGAGCTGCATGTGGGGAGAAGAAAGATATCTTTGTTGAGGATCAAGCCTCAGCTGTGCAGAGGTTTCATTTACCTCTCCAGCCTCATATTTCATAGGCAAAACCCAGAATTATGACAGCAGAGTTGTCTTGGAAGGGGCCCCCAAAAGGCAGCTGCTGAGCCTCTTCCCCTAACTCATTCCTGGCAGAAATTTGTCTAGTCCACCATTCCTCACTGTTTTGCTAATCTGACTGACTGGATACATTTTTCTGTTGTACAGTATATCCCCGGCCCTTTTGCTTCTTTGCTGTTCCCCTAAGTAGGTGACAGGCAGTTGTCATTACTGTTGATGTGAATTTATATTAACAGATAACAGACAAAAATCTCTAATTGCTGATGGCAACTGTACTCCATTTTTAACTCCTGGCTGCAGGTGTGAAAACACATTCCTCTACTGTGGAGAGAGTAAATAGCTGCCAGAAATTAAAGGACATTAACTGTTCCCCAGCCATCATAAGTGCTATGTGACCTCCTTTCCACCTTTCCCTTCTTCAGTGGGCTATGACCTAGTTTAAGAAATCTTTTTTCTTTAAATCTCCAATGCAACAGACTTTGTAAATTACCTGTGCTTTACTCTCACAATGCAGGGAAAGATTTCTTCATGTCCTGGACTTGCATCTATGCTACAGTTTACATGTATTATTATTTTACTGTCCACTGTGAGCACTGCTGCCCTTTTGCACACGCCTTGTATAGTATCTAAAGTCTGTTACTACAACTGTGGGTAGATTTAAAAAAAAAAAAGAAGATCCTATTAAAAGCTTCAAGAATTCTTCATTTGCACACACACAATGAGGACAATGTTGACAACATACCTTGTATTTTACATCACAGTACTTTAACTTACGAGGCCACTAATAATTTCAGCAGCAACAGAAAGGAATACACATCCAAACTAGATACAAACCTAATCAAACCTAATGAACTAACATGAACACTGTAATTTTTAATTGAAATTCAGAATTTCTAATGCTTTATGAATGTATTCTCCATCTAGGCAGTATAACAAGAAATTTTGTGCCAGGTTAAATGTTTTTAGAATAACATACTAATCCTCAAGTTTAGCAATTTTGGAGTTGAATATTCTATCTCATAAGATAATAATCTAGATGTAGATCACTACCAGTTTTTGCACAAATGTTCAAATGAGAAGAATACTCAACATAAAGAACTACTGGAACAAAAAAACCTTTGAATTGATTTGAAGCTTAGCTATAAGGACCTGTCTGGACTGCCAGTAATGGAAAACTACTTATATCAATAGTACACAGGTAATTGCTGGTTGGAAGCTTCAATGAACGGGATAAGTAGTGAAGAGATGTTCTGAACTACCTTGTCTGTGATCCAGCTGTCTATGACCTTCTTCCAGTCACAGAAAGTTTTGCTACTGGAGAATGCGGAGATCTTTATACTTCAGTTGCCTTGCTGTTTTTATTTTTGAAGATACACTCTTATTATTTCACTCACTGGTACTAAACATGGGACTGAAACATTTGCTAAGAGTGTTTTTCTACCCCAAATCTCATTGGATAATAAACAATATTATTTCATAAAATATTGTGCCACAAATGTCAATAAATAATTTAAAAACTCACAAATCTCATTTGCTTCACTTCAGCAATGGTGATGATAGTTCCAGTGCAACTCTTCTGTTGGCTTTACCTAACTTGGCTATTCTACTGCAATGAATAAGAGCACTCACTCCTACACTGCTGCTAAAGGCATCATCAGGGCTCCACTTTCTCTGCTCCCTTCAGACAATGATAAATACATATATCATCAAATGATCCTAACAGAATGATATCTAATACTTTTATTATTTATATGTTTTTGACCATTCATTTGAGAAGCAGACTGGTACTGGTATATGGTGATATCTTTTTAGGCAATGAAATTTAATACCAATGCAGAGCAGCACGTACATTGCTACGGGAGATATCAAGAACTCCCCCCTATGGTTTTAGATCAGCTTCATTATGCATGTTCATTTTCCCCCTTCATGTTCCACTTTGTAGGAAAAAAAAATAAAAATCAGTGAGTTGAAAATTCAGAATCCCTTGAGGAATTAAAAAAATGTGTGAATACAAATCATTTTAACACAAATGTAGCAGAATCACTTATCTTGGAAACTGAACTCTAAGAAATTCTAAGCAAGAATCCCTGTGAAATCTCAATGGTTCCACAAGCCTCTCTGGACAGAGAGCACTCAAAAGTTACACCCTTACCGTCCTGAAGACAGACACTCAAAATTCAAGGTGCCTAAAAATAAGAACTTTCATTCAAAACTGAAAGTTGACTCATCTGGGGCAAGATGGAAGTATGATCAGAGATGATGCTTCTGTTAATTAACAGCTTTATTACTGATTGTCACACTTTGCCACCAAGTATATTTTAGTTTTGGGGAATACAAGTTATAAATCAATATTGCAGAAGGTGCTCTTTGGAGACTTTTAGGTCTATCAGGTTGCACTGAAGAGTGAATTTCTTTAAAAATTATTCACAGCAATGTTTATAATATGTGTAGAGTCTTTTTACAGGAAGATAATGGTGAAAATGGTTGATTTTAAAATTCCCAGCATTGGAAAATAGTTCCTAATAAAAAACTTGAGAACAAAACACCTACTTTGCAGAGAATTGCAAAGCTTGAGTAGCTTTGCAGAAAAACCAAGACTCCTCCATTTTGTTGTACTACAGGTCATTTTTTTGCTTCTTTCTGTTGGATTTTTATATTCAAGCATTTTCCTGCAGTCAGTGAGCCTGGCAGATACAAATATTTCTGCAAGGAGGGAATGCTAGAGCTACAGCAGCCCAGAACTTTTTGAAATGCCAAATGCTGTAACTATGCAGTGATCTGTTACCCTGTCTCAAGAAAATCACAGATGATTTCCAGACTAGGAGAAAAAATGAGACAATCAAATGATTTATTTTTATTAAACCTCTCAGGAGTCAATGCAAACAGGAAAGCCAGAGATATTTTAGTTTTGATTTTACTGCAATGGCAGTGGAAAGAACCAAATCACAGGAATTTATGAAAAGAGCTTTGAAATCACAACTTTTTTTTTTTTTATAAACAGAACTATTTACCACTTTTCAGCAAGACATCCAACTTCTCAGAACAATAACTAGGATAAAGCCATGTAAGCCTTTGCCAGCTTTTGTCAGGGCTCCCTAGGCATGTCTATCCTTGGCCAGACCCCCAGAGCTCCCCCACCTGCTTCAGCCTCATATCCCCACATCTCCCCGAGGCTCATCAGCCCCTGTCCAAGCCAGGCCACATCAGGGCTGGGCTCCAGCTCCCTGTGCCACCTGCAAGCCCATGGTCTGACCTTGACCCAGGGTGCAGAACAGGTGCATCATCCCTTTTGGCAGTTTTACACCCAGTGCAATCCTCTACTTTACAGTGCATATTTATAGCCATTTTAAGATAAGTAAAGATTGTTTCTTGACTGCCTCTTATAGACTACTGAAAATTTCTGAATATACTGCTGTCAAGAGGAAACTGTGAAGCACTTAGACGAGAATTTTGGAAATGCATGTTTAAGACTCAAGCATGAATTGTGGTAGTCAAACAGAATTTAGCTCTGAAGCATTAGAAGTGACTTTTAGTTCTTTTATAATATCAGTACATTCACATGGAAGTATATATATGTAATACAATAACTATCTTCATTCTCAGTCTAAGAAAGAATAAGGAGGGCAGAAAAAAATAAAGAGCTTCAGAGCAA